AAAAAATATTGTATCTTCTTTAGGTGAAAGTTTACACAGCGAGTTTCCATTGAACAATTTTTATACAAATTGTTCTATGACATTGGTTACAATTTTTACACTGTGTCAGCAATCTCATTACTTCCATTCTGTTTCTTTTGTTTCCATTGATTGAGCTTCTCTTCCCCTCCTTGCCTTCTCAACTTTGCTTTTGGTAAATGTAAACTGTTTGGCCTCATACAGTTAATTGTTTATGGGACACATTACTCATAAGTGATATTGTTTATTTCATAATCTAATCTATAGAAACTCTAATGGCATGGTGCCTAACTCATTTGACTGCTAACCAGAAGGCTGGCAGTTCGAACCCCACCAGCCACTGCTCAGAAGGAAGATTGGGCAATCTACTTCTGTAGAGATACTGCCTCAGAAACCCAAGGAGGGGTCTCTAGGAGTTGGATCCGACTCAACAGCAGTGAGTTTATTTTTTTGGTTTTTAATCTACTATTTGGCTGAAAGGTGACCTCTAAGAGTGATTTCAGTTTTAGGTCAAAAGTCTAGTCTTGGGGTTCCTCCATTCTCTATCAGTCTAGTAAGTCTGGTTTGTTTTGTTTTGTTTTGTTTTAAGTGAATTTGAGTTTTGCTCTAGTTTTTCTCCCATTCCCCATTCTAACTGGGACTTTCTATAGTGTTCCTAGTCAGAACGGTCGGTGGTAGTAGCCAGACATCATCTAGTTCTCCTGGTCTCTGGATAGAAGAGGCTGTGGTTTAAATGGGCACTCCTTCATTATTTATTACAGTTGCTGGAATATGCACAGAATCATAGTGCCAAGTATGGGTAGGTAGGTCTTAATCCACATTTGTAGTGACCACAGATAACTCAGGGTTTAGCAATCAGCCCATTGCAGAGTCCATAGGCTACAGTGGTCACCTGAGGAACCCACGCTCCTGGGGGTTCCTGAGAGGCCTCTGGACCACCTTAAGAAAGTAGACTGAGGGTTCCATGTGCCTTAAAAGTAACTTACACTAACTGGGGGGGGGCATTTTTTTCCATGGCCCTCAATTAACTGTGATATAGTTATTGAGCAAGATGAGACCCACACCCTTCCTCCAAGTGTGCCCTGTTACTCTATTTATATAGCACCAAGAAAGTACTAACATGAACGTCAAATGCATTTGATTAAAGAGAAATTATGGAAACAGTCACACAGGGTGGGAGACCAGCTGAGCCTCTAACTATCCAAGTACCTGTGGGCAAGTTACTTGACCTCTCTGAGCAACAACTTCTTCATCTACAAAATGAAGCCAACAGAGGTCTCTACCCCACAGGGTTACTCTAAAGATAATGTAGGTAAGGTACTAAGTGCTTAGCACCTAGTAGTGCTCAGAAAGCAGGAGCTAACATCATAGCAAATACTGATGATGGTGATGCTTGCTATGTTTCTACTCTCAGAGAGCTAAGGGCTACCAGGTGACTACTCCATCCAACTAGAACATGGCCAAGAGTGAGCCCATTATGGACAATCAATGCTAGGAGGTTGGTCTGGTAAAGTCCACTTGAACTTTCTAATGAATTTTCTTCGCATTCAATCAGCTTTGTAGCTTTGTCCATTTTCTTTTTTTAACAATGACAAAGATTTGCTCTCAGAATGTTTTGGCGATTCTTCCCCAAATAGGATTTACTCCATTTCTGACTCTATTTTGGACAAGCCTAAATCATATTGAAAAAGAAGTCCTGGTGCTATAAGAATTAAGCACTTGGCTGCTAACTGAAACGCTGGCAGTTCAAACCCATCCAGCAGTTCTGTTAAGACAAGAGTTGGTGATCTGCTCCTGTGAAGATTACAGCCTAGAACAGCCTATGGGACAGTTCTCCTCTGTCACACAGGGTTGCTAGGAGTCAAAATTGACTCAATGACACCTAACAACAACAACAACAAGCATCATATTAAATCCTTGATTTCTTATCTTAGACTATTTTCAGATCTTTTTTCCCTTATTTTCATTTATGAACAATTGAACCAAGGTAATCCAATGCATTTCTACAACTCTACTATTTTTAAATTCTTTAAGAAAACATCCAATTCCACAAACAGTTTTACCTCTCCCCTTGGAAGAAAAGTAAATATACCAAAAAGTAAGAGACCATCTAAAGCACTGCTTGGCTTAGAAGAGTTTATCCTCAATATCCAAATGTTTAATTCTTTAATTTTAAAATTTAAAATAAAAAACCTTACAAGTCTATGCTTAACTCACCAGTCATATATGGTTAGCTTTATTTTTTCACACACTGAAGGAAACTGTCAAAAATAAAAGAAACAGAAAAAGTTAGCTATTTCTCTATTCATGCAGTAATTACTTGTGTCTTAATTTTTTCTGAGGCAAAAAAAAAAAAAAAAAAAAGTCAAACCTTGATTTGAAGATTAACGACTTGATTCCACTCAGGATTTGCATTTTTCTCAATTATATTTGTGTAAACCTGTAAAATCACCAAAGGAAAACAGCAGGCATTCAAGTTTCTAATTTCTAATATATGTAATCTGTAATATATGTTCCAAGCTTGTCACCACTGTTCACCCAGTTACTAAGGCTTAGGACCAGCGTCAGCCAAAATGTCTCTTTCCCTGTCAGATGCCTCATCCAAACCAATATCCTTTGTAATATATGCATACTGGATTATGACTCCAACAGTTTACCTATTAGTTATATACTTAGTAACATGCTTAAACTCTATTTTTCCTGGTAACACTTTAGTAAAATGTGACATGGCCTTCATAGTAATCTTCACTTCGACTCAGAGAGCTTGTTTTATTTATTTCTTCCTATGTTTTTAATTTATACATTGGGGGCTCTGGTGGTGTAATGCCTAAGGCATTTGACTGCTAACCAGAAGGCTGGCAGTTCAAACCCACCAGCCACTCCTCAGAAGGAAGGTTGGGCAATCTACTTCCATAGTGATACCACCTCAGAAACCCAAAAAGGGGTCACTATGAGTTGGATCTGACTCGAGGGCAGTGAGGTTGGTTGGTTGGTTGGGAACACTCAATTAATGTGATAATATAAGAGTTAATGTGCATTAATCAGTTACTATCAAACAAACATCTCATTGTTAATGTCCAAACAGATCTCTGTCCATCATCTATCCCAGCCTCCCATCCCCTACCCCAAAGCCATTCCTGTGTCAGTCTTCACACCACTGTTCATCCAGTTGCTCAGGCTCAGAACCAGAGTCAGCTGCAATGTCTCTCTTCCCCTCAGATGCCTCATCCAAACTGACATCCTGACACCTCTATCTTCAAGCAGCTCCTGTAACATTTTCTCCCCTGGATACCTGTAGTTGACTCCTACCTAGATCCTCATTTTGTCTCTTTTCTTTGTATCTTCATTTTGCTTCCTTGTGTAACACCTCAATGACCTTCCAATGTACACGTAGACTAAGTCCAAAAAGTTGACATATATACTCTGGCTGGTAAATCCCTTTCCCAGCTTTCTGATCTCATCTCTAATTTTCCCCTTGCTCATTCTTCTCTATGAGCTTTTTGTTTTGTTTTGCTTTCTGCCAACATGTCTTCAGGGGCCTTTATATCTGCTCTTCTCTTTCCCTGGGAATCCCTTTTCCCAGATCTCAACATTATCCAAACCCCTACTCAAAAGTCACTTTGTCAGAGGCATCCCATTTGATTACCTCACTAACCATCCATGCCCCTGCATCACTTGCTTCTTATCTCCTGCTTTATTTTCTGTGTAGTACTTTCCACTCTCTCCAAGTATTTAATTACCTGCTTGTTTATTGTATGTCCCTTGTATTAGAAAACAAGCTCCATGGAGGAGTGGAATGTGTGGCTAATTGCCTCTTCCATGAAGAACATTTTCCACAAGACCAGAAGAACTGGACAGTGCCAGGTTACCACTACTGAATATTTTGATAAAGGATTCTAAAGAATAATCTTGATCATAGGAGGAAAATGCAGAACAGAATGTCAAATTTTCATGGACTCCAGACCTTCTGGAGCCATGAAAGGAGAGAGCCCCTGAAACTATTGCCCTGAGATAATCTTTAAACCTTAAACCAAAAATATTCCCTGAAGTCTTCTTAAAACTAAACAATAGCTTAAAAATGTCTGCCTTGAGCAATATACTCTTTTAAGAAATATCTATATCGGGTCAAATTGACAACAGCAACTTGGAAGATTAGATAGGCACCTTAGGGGGAAGGAAAACTCTCCCTATGTTAACTTACATTAATGGGGGAGAAACAACTCAGGAAAAGAGGGTGAGAATGGTGGCACACCTCAAAAATGTAATCAACTGTACAAGTAGAAACTGTTGAATTGGTGTTGTTTGGCTGTGTATCTTCTCAATAATAATAACAACAAAATATGCAAAAGTGAAAAAAGAAAAGAAGTTCCATGAAAGCAATAACTATCTTGCTCATTTCTGTACCCACAGCACATCGGACAGTATCTGGTACAGAGTAGGCTCACACTAATTACTTCTTGAGTTAATTAACCCTCTCAACAATCCTATGAGATTATTATTGTACCTATTTATACTTCAGGAAATTGAGACTCAGAGGTTGAGGAACTGCCTGCCTATGGAGTAGAGTGAAGCCTGGGTTTACATCAGGCCTCATCTTGCCCCAGAGCTGAGGGCCTTCCCACCACACCCCACTGACTCTCTTAGGAAATAATGCCAGTCATACATGTGGTTTGCCCAATCTTGCTTTCATAAATATAAATGGTTCAAACACACAGGAGATGCTAGTTCTTGCTGTAACTGTCTGCAGTGTGTTGTTATTCTACTGTGGAATCCAATATTTGATAGTGGTGACCCTACATCAAAAGTCTTCCAACTTTTCCCAGAGGAGTGGGATGAGGCTTCCCTGCCTGGTTCTCCAATTTCAGCAGCTCATTGGGATAGGGGGAGCTGAGAAACATGACAGGAGTGGGTAACTGGGTGTTGGGCTGTTGTGTTACTGCTGTTGTTTTAAGTTGCCATCGGGTCGGCCCTGACTCCTGATGACCCTGACTCATGGTGACCCCATGAACAATGGGATGAAATGCTGCCTGATCTGGTGCCATCTGCTCTGTTACACATCAGACCATTGTGAGCCACAGGATTTTCACTGCCTGGTTTTTGGAAGAAGATTGCCAGGCTTTCTTCTGAGCCCACTTAGTCTAGAAGCTCTGCCGAAATGTGTTCAGCACCACAGTAACGTGCCAGCCTCTACTGACAGACAGGTGGTGGCTAGGCATGAGATGAGGTGCATTGATGGGGAACAGAACCCAGGTCTCCTTCACGGAAAGTAAGGACTGTAGTCTGTAACATTTAGTAGAGGTTGTTGTGGCTGACTGGGGAGTTTGCCTAAGATTAAGGTAATGCTTGGACCTGGGAAATAATTAAAATAATTTAGTGGTAGGAGGCTTCATTATTCCAATCTTTCAAAAGACTGAATTTTCTAACTTAATCCCTGCATACTTTCCACTCCAAAATGGACCTGCGGGGAAGTGTGGTGTGTTCAGACTCAGATAATCTGCCTTCCTGCACACTGCCTAAATCATCAGGGGGCTATTTTAACAATGAATAAGCAGGAATTCACCCCAAGGATAGTTTTAAATATTTATTCCTAGAGGCATCTGCGTTTAGATCTTATACAAACCTTTTTTCCAGCAAAGGAAACTTCTACAAAAGGATCCACTAGATTTTTCTTATCTGCATTCCCTCCAAATATTTCCTTCACTGTCTGTGAGAAGGCATCATCCACTGGAAGGAAGATGTTGCAGAGCAGAAATTAAATTTGGTTCTCTTGAAAGAACAGAAAATATGCTGCAAAATTAAAAATTTCCTCCTATGCATAAGGACAGTTGTAACAAGAATTGTTCTCAGAGGTGGCCAATCACTGTACCATTGTGTTGCATCAGGCGTGGTTTTAATTTAAAAAAGGTATTTGAGGTCAAAATGATACAGGCCCAATATGAATTTTTACAGAGAAATTCAAGAAAATTTAGCATAATCATAAAATATTTAATCAATTACAAACAAGAAACTGTTTTTACCAAATTCTAATGTGAATATACATTAATTAAAGAGGTCAATGTAGAAACTACATATGAGACTTAATTTACTTACTTTATTTCTGAGGGCAAGATGGTATAGGGAGGAGTTATAAGGTCTTAAAATGGGAAGGAAGTTTTCCCAGGAAAAGTAGCAAATCCTGAAGAGACCCACAGCCCATAGAGGGAGTGCCTCCTGCCGAGGACTTGAAGAAAGGTCCCATGTCCCAGAGCCCAGCAGGAAGCAGACAGGCTGGGAAAGCAGATGGGATGTTGGGTTATTAGAAATGACAGAGAAGTAACTGGACTACTCCCTATACAATTCTCTTAAATGTATCTAGTCTCTTGATAAATGTATCTCATCAGATAAGAGCAACAGGCTTCTAGTTACTAGTACTTCTTTTTGCTAGGTTATTCTTAATAGTCTGGTAACAAATATTTATTTGTTTACAAAGTTTCACATTTTCATTTGGGATGAAGTGAGTGATCTGTCTTCAGCTTTCTTTAGAGTAAGGAGAAGCCATGGAATTCTGAAGGAAGAAGGGATGGAACAGGATGGGCCAAAGGCAGGTGCTCAACAAGGAACATAAATCAGTGACCAACTGGCTGCACCATCAGCCTATTCAGGTAGATTTCAGTGGGGTCAGAATGAATGAAAATAAGACCATGAAGGTCTTCAAAGAAGAAAAAACCATGGAAGGGAACACCAATCACTATGCAGAGTATGTTCTTAACACATCTAATTGTAACCTCATAACTGAATCATTCCAGGGCAGGATTGAATCAATACATACTCTGGGGGATGTCTTCAGCTCTGTAGATTTTCAGCAAGAAGGTCACCCAGCGGAGAGCAATGCCAGCAGGGAGTAACAAATTACTCTCCACATCATCACTGTCATTATCACGATCTTGTCTCTCAGGCTGTTGGGTACACAAGATTACAAATTGTAAAGGTAGAAAAGCAGCACTCGTAAGAAGCCACATTGTTGCTTGTGAAATGAAACTAGTCAGAACTGTTTCCATTAGCATTCCCTGTGTTTCAGACTTAGGAGCTTAGCCATCAATTTTCCTCCAACTTCCAAACTCCTCTACAGAATTGATGCTCATGTTTCCTCAATACACCTCAAGAAAATAATTGGCCCTTCAGTCACGTTATGAACACCAAATAATAAAGAGTGTATGTGTGCATGTGTATGTGTGTGTATGTTCCTAGTGTTCTTTCAATTTCTCTTGGGCCACTGTGTTTGCTGCACAATGTCTCAGAACAATTGTGCCTCTAGGTAGCAATGCCTGATTCTGCAAGTGAGCCATTTCCTACAGATAAAACCAGTCTTAATTCTTCGTACCCTTTTGAGTAAAGAGGAGCTCTGGTGGCACAGTGGTTAGGCACTGGCTGCTAACCAAAAGGTCAGCAGTTCAAACCTACCAGCTGCTCCACGTGAGAAAGATGTGGCAGTCCACTTACATAGAAACATTTACAGCCTTGGAAACTCTATGAGGCAGTTCTACTCTGTCCTAAAGGGTCACTAAGAGTCAGAATCAACTCCATAGCAGCGGGTTTGGTTTTGGTTTATTTTTAGTAAAAGCAGCAGAGAAGGTGGAGAATTTGGAGGCTTACAGGAGGCTCATCTCCGGTTCCCAGGATAAACATGCTGACTTTCATGTAACCTTTAGCACCTGAGCTGGAATCTTCTGGATCATTGAGAAGCAGCCATTTTCTCATGACTGCATGACCTAAAATAAAGAGGGAGTAAAAGGATGGAGACACTCTGCAGAAGAGCTGACAGGCCTGTGGTTTTATCTGCTGTAAGGTAAACAACTATTTCCTCAGACGGCTCACTGTAGCATGGGATTCGGCAGCTGTCTCCATGTTAATGTTCTCTGCTCTGCCCTCCCCACCCCTACCCCACCATCTTGCCTTGGTGTGATTCAAACAAGAGAGTCTAAGCTCCATGAACTGAATTTATCATTTGACTTTTTGATATGATCAAAATATCCTTACAAAATTTATTACTTATTTATGAATGTTATGAAAATTACCATTAGATTCAAAAGACAGGCATCCACCCTAAGTAAACTGTTGATTCATTCCAGCTAAACAGCCCCCTCTCCTAAATCAACAATAATTTTTCCTTCTGTTCACAAGGCATTTGACCTAGAATTCTCTAACAAGGTAGAAGAAATGGACTTGAGGCTGCAAGTTCACAGGGAGAACATTACTTACCAGGTTCATCATAAACGAATCCAACATCAATCTGGGGAAAAAAGAATTTTACATAGTTAAATTTTGAAATCAGTCTAGTCACTTCAAAGAAATCATCATCATTATACTTAAATACAATGTCCTTAAGAAGACTTAAATTTCCTTGAGATCCAACATTTGCTTCTTACCCTCTTACCTCAATGCCTAACTGATCTGGGACACACAGAAATCACTGTTGAATGAAGGAGCTAATCTTAGAGTTGGAAAGGGCTGTGGACGTAAAATGACCAATTCATCCTGGTTTTTCTAGAACTTTTCTGGCTTTAGCACCAGAAGTCCTGTGTCCTGTGAGACCCTCAGTTCCAGCCAATCTGGAACTGTTGAGTCACCCTACAGAAAATCACCTCGCCCAATTTCCTATCTAATACTTCTCCTCCTGTAATGAACACTAATACTAGTATTAACATAACCACCGGTTAGGAGCTCTGGTAGCATAGTGGCTAAAGCACTTGACTGCTAACCAGAAGGCTGGTGGTTCAAACCCACCAGCCACTCCTCGGAAGGAAGGTTGGGCAATCCTACTTCTGTAGTGATACTGCCTCGGAAACCCAAGGAGGGGTCGCTATGAGTCGGGGACGACTCGACGGCACATAACAACAACAACAACAACAACAACTGGTTGGGTATTTTGATATGCCAGCCTGTGGTAGGTGCTTAACATTATCTCATTCAGTCTTCACAATTACCCCATTTTATAGAAGAAGAAACTAGGGATCAGCAAGATTAAGTGAATTTCCCAGGCCATGTGGCTAACCAGTGGTAAACCAGGTGTGAACATAGGTCTGCCTGACCCAGATCATCCTCTAGGACTTCTAGTGACTGGGAGTTCCTTCTTTCAACAAGCAGCCCATTCCACCCACAAAATGCTTGCCTTTAATTGCAATAAGAGTTACTTACAAAAGCACCCTGATTTCCTTCCCTGCTTTGGCTTTCCTTTTACACACAAGATATATAATAACTGGCTTTGTAGATGGATCTCTGAGGCCACTGGGTAAGTCACCATAGTCAAGCACCTCTTCCCTTTGTGGCAATAAATTGGCTTCCATCCCAGATCACTGGGAAAGACCCTGATATGGCAGCTTTGAAGCATATGGATTTGGAGAACTGCTAAGTATTACACTTTGGAAAGACAAGCCCAGGCCAGACACCCCTCAGCTGGTGTCTGGCCACTGGGGCATTCATGTCCAGTAAGGATCACATAACCCTAAGACTTCACCGAGGATCCTGAGACCTGGCCAGGAATCAGATTCCCTATTATGGAAATGCCCACCTTTGACACAGCAGACTGTTGACACCTACCTTAAATTCCCCCATCAGACAATCTGCCCGCAAAGAATGGGAATTATAAACCTGGAAGAAAGAAGAGAGGTGAAAACATTACCAGCTCCATCTGGCAGGGAGTGAGCTGTGCATTCCTAGTCCCTTGCATCCTTACCCGAATGCTGATGAGTTCATCCATCAATTCAGAGGGGGTCATGTGGACGTTGTAGAAAAATAACTGTTAAATCAAAAGAGAAGAATGTCTGAATATTATTAGCACAGGTGGATTTAGGTTTTGAGGGGCCTGAAGTTATGATTTTGGGGGTCTTCTTGAAAAATACAAAACATGAATTCAAAATTGGGTTTGACTTGTGAACACATTGCACAGCCTTGGAAGGGACCCTGAAGCTTAAGCTTTATGAGCTTCAACAGTAAACCTATCTCTGCATGTCGGATACATGATAAAAGGTTAAGTAATAAATACAGTATTTATTTAACTAAATAAAATTATTCATTTGGGGCCATGAGGCTAAGGACTTTTACCTATTAGCTAAACAAAGTGAAGACCTAACATTATTTCATGTTGTGACTGTACTAAAATGGGTGCATGGACTTGCATGACCTGGAAAGTTGAATTTAATTCTCTACTATTCTCAGCTCTATCATTTGTGTCTAGTGATTCCGATTTCCCCCTTTCTAACAAAACACTTTCAAAGTCAGCTTTGCCTACTAACTTGTGTTAGTGTTCATCAGAGCCAATATTGCCTGTGTTGTAACTCATTGCAACAGCTAAGTTTAAGAAGTTTGTTTCTTGGAAACTGAGTATCAGGTATACAGAGGTTGTATCATGTCAGCCCAATGAACTTGAGTCCTAAGAGAAAAAGACTGAGCATTCATTTAAATGGAAAAATTTTTACCTCTGACTTTTCATTTAGAAAGACTTTAAATCTCTAGAAAAGTTGAGAGAATAGTGAAATAAACACTCACGTATCTTTCAGCTATGATCACCAATTATGACATTTTAGGACATTTGCTTTATCTCCCCTTCTCTCTTTTGTTAACTGAACTATTTGAAAGAAAATTATAGATAGCATGACACTTCACCCCTAAATAGATTTATCTGTATCTCCTAAGAGCAAGGATACTTTCCTCTATAGCCACGACAATATTACCACACTCGAGAAATTTCACACTAATAGAATGACATTGTCTAATATATGCTGTAATCAATTTTAAAATCTCTTCAATTGTGCTCAAAAAAGTTCCTTCTTTTTTTTTTTTTTTCCATCTTTTCTCTCAAGACTAATTGTCTTATAGGACATCTCACAATCTGGATTTGTGTGTTTCCTCACTATTAGATTCAAGTTGAACATTTTGACAAGAAATGACACAGGTGATGCTGATCACATCCCATATAATCCATCAGGCCACACAAAGTCAGTTTGGCCCATTATCGATGATAGTTGGTTAAGGAGATATACATAGACTAGGAATTTTTCAGTAAAATTCTTTTATTTGCTTATGAATAAGTCTGTTTTGGGGTCTAGTTATTTGATTCTTCACTTTTGCAAAAAGACTTAATCTTAAAAAAAATAAAATGAGAAAATAGTAAAGGCGGAGATTATTGTTGAAATCTTCAGAATTAGTTGAGCGATATGAAGCTGGCATTATAAATGCATTGATAGGCCTTATGCCTTAGGCCCTGAGTCACCCAGGATCTTGCTCTCTCTCTTATCCAGGCCTGCCCTCTAACATAAATCTCTCCCAGCCTTCCTCAATGTCCATTTCATAGGCTCCATCCCAGTATGGATGCAACTCATGTGTGTTCTTTTATTTAGCTGCATGCTCTTGCCTATGATTCATCTAAGGAGGAAAAGTTAGTGGTGAGAAGAAAAATGGGACCTTCTGGGAAGCCGGGGGCCAGCTTGAACAAAGGGAAAGAAACCAGAAGATGTACTATACAGAAGAAACCATTTTCTTTTGTTAACAGTCATAGAAAGAACCAAAGCTGGAGTCAGAGATAGGATTAGAAACTGTAGGTAACTAAGAGAAACTGTGACAGGAGAGGTCTGGGCTCAGAGAACAGGGCAGGGGAGACAGGAATCTCAGAAATGTGTCTCCTCAGCAGAGCAAGGCTGGACTCTGGAAAATTCTCCAAATTTATCCTTCTCCTCAAAACCCCACTAGTGGAGTTTTGTGTTATGTGAGGTGACTGTTAAGGCATTAAGTACTTTCGAAGAGTATTTCTGAAGAGGTCAACAGAACCAGGCTACATTCTCAAAACAAAAAAGCAAACTGCTCGCTCATAATTGCTTTAACATGTACTATTTCTATAGCCAAGTAAGTTTAACAACTTTAAAAAGTTGGGTTAGTGGTGATGGTTGCACAACATGACTGATATAATTGGTGTCACTGATTTTTATATACGAAAAATGTTGAACTGGGTTACTAAAGTCACCCTGTTCATTACAAAGAGCAAAGGCAAACACATGTGCCATCACATCTGTCATAAGAGATGAACGGACATAGGTTGCATCCATTGGGAAGTTGTTACAAAAACACCAGGAAAGTCATGAGACAAAGTGTAGGTGAACTGCTGTATAGAAAGTGAATTTGCTCTGTAAATCTTCACCCAAATCACAATTAAAAAAAAAAAAAAAAACCACCAGGAAAACACCTGACCACTCTTAGAAGCAATGACAAAGCAGGCCAAGTGACCTCAAGACTCAGTGTTCTTAACATGGTCCATTTAACACTGCAACTTCATATTATCTTTACCAGTTATGTTTGCATATGTGTTCTGCTCCCGTTGGTGCCCACGAAGGTGCCTATAAATAGGACAGACTTACTGATGAGGGACATGCATTCTCTGTCCATTTACCTCATCAAAAAATGGGTTGTTTCCCCTCTTGATTCTTGTTCGGTGCGTCTGGCCACAGACGTGAACTTTGACCACAGGTCTAATGTTGTTGCCACTTAACTGTCGGCCCTCAATCACTCTGACTCGGATCTGCAAGCACAGAAGGGCGTTGTTATTTACTCTTTCACGGCAGGTGGTGTACTGGAATCCTCAACTCTGCTCCCACTTTTCCATCTATAAGGATCACTGAGCCCAGGCAACTGGTGCCCATGCGGTGCCTGTGTTGGCATCTTTATTCATTCACTGGGGTTGTAGAAAACAAGAGCAGTAGTGGAGGCGAAATAGTCTTTAGGTGGCCCAGGACAGGACGGGCAGGGCTGAAGCCACTGCTCAGGCCCCGGACTTGTAGCTGGACTTTCTGAGCCTTGGTGATGTACTAACTCAACTTCACAGGTGTCTCCCAAGTCCAAGGCAGTGCTCGGAGCTATGAAAAATGGAGGATCTGTACTTCTGTTCTTTGAATAGTTTCTCCCTATCACAAAGGGAAGGAAAGGTCATAGTTTTAGTTCTCTCAATGAGCCTCATCTGGCTTGACTATATCCAGTTCTGCATGCAGAAGAAAGATGGAGAACAATTCTTGTGGGTGTATGCCCTGACACCCCTTCTTTCTAGCTGAGCCACTGCCCATGGGAATGGACCCATCATTCACTGCAATAGTCAGAAGATGAACATCGCAGGGGTTAAACAAGGATATACAGCATTTGACCTCTTTCTACCTGGAAGTCCTGTGGCTTGTTGGACAGCATCCGCCGGCTGTTCTTTCCTTTGGTGAGCCTCTGAGCCAGCTGAGCTCCCGGCCTTGTCCCAGTAGGCATCCCAGACCCAGGATCCCTGATGGTACCTTCCACCCTGCCTTCATCACCTTCATCATCTTCCTCATCTCCTAAAAGATCAAAAAGAAATTTGGTTAGAGATGGCCCTTACACTGTGAATGTCTGGACATTTTGTTTTCCTGACACAGTTTTTCTTGCCATTATGTTTTCAGTTTTCCTAAGGTGGCAAGGGAAGGAGAAGCTCTTGGTGACATTGGCATGGGACTTGCTATGATATAAATACATAGTTTCTTTAGGAAACTGTCTTCATGGTGTGTCAGGGCACTCATCCAAAGAGAACAGGAGAACACCAGGGACTGGAGATAGTGAGAGGAACGAGGTCCAGTTGGACACAGCCAGAAAAGACTGGGTCTGATCTCAAGGTCAGAGAGACCTTCTGCAGTAAAGAGAGAGAAAGATAAAGAAATGCTGTGGACAGAACTGAGAGTCCAGAAATAAACCCACACGTTTATGGTCAACTGATTTTTATTTTACTTTTATTGTGGTGAAAACATACAAACCAGGCCATTCACCAATATCACAATCTGTATATTCACAGCTCAGGGACATTGAGGACATTTGTCATGTTGTGCCACCATTATTGCTATCCTTTTCCAAAATATTCCACCACCATTAGCATAAACTTAATGCCCTATAAGCAAAAGCGTCCCCTTTCCCCCTCCGTCCTACCTCTGGTAACCACAATAATATTTGGTATATATATAATTTTTTTAACCTATTTTGGAATTTTCCCTCCCCTCCCCTCCCTGATAACCAACAAATAAAGTTTCTTTCCTTTCCTTGATATTTTACAATAGTGGACTAATACAATATTTGTTCTGTGACTAACTTATTTCACTCAGCATAATGTCCTCCAAGTTCATCCACACTATGCGGTGTTTTGAAGATTCTACATTATTCTTTAGCCCATCAACTGATTTTTGACAAGGGTACTAAGTCCATTCAATGAGGTGAGAAGAGTCTCTTTAATAAATGATGTTGGGAAAACTGGAATTCCACATGCAGAAAAATGAAACAGGATCCAGGCCTCATGCCATACACAAAAACAAAATAAAAATGGATTAGGGACCTAAATGTGTAAACTAAAACTGAAAATTCTTAGAAGAAAATGCAGAGGCAAAACTGTTGGGCCTAGTTTTTAACAATGGATTATAATAAAAATAATATAGTATTATAAAATAATATATAATAATATTACAATAACAAAAGCACAAAGAGCAAAAGACAAAATAAATAAGTGGGACCTCTTAACAGTTAAAAATTCCCGTCCATCCAAAGACTTTACCAAAAAAGTGAAAAGACAAGTTACCAACTGAGAAAATATCTACAGAAACCATATATCTGATAATAATCTAATAACCAAAATATATATAAAACGTTGACAACTTAACAACAAAAAGGCCAATAATCTACATAAAATTGGCAAAGAACTTGAACAGGCATTTCATCAAAGAGGACATTCAATGGTCACCAAACACATGAAAAGATGCTCGAAATCATTAGCCATCAGAAAGATTCAAATCAAAACCACCATGAGAGACTATTTCACTCCCATTTGGATGGCTAAGTGAAAAAAACAGAAAATAACAAATGTTGGCAAGGATGTGGGAAACTGGAATTTGGAACTCTTATTCATAGCTGGTGAGAATACAAAATGGTACAGCTGTTGTGGAAAACAGTGTTGTGGTTCCTCAAAAAACTAAAAAGAGAACTACCATATGATCCAGCAATTCTACATCAGGTACATAACCAAAAGACTTGAAAGCAGAGACCCAAACAGAGACTTATACTCCACTGTTCACTGCAGCATTATTCACAATAGCCAAAATGTAGAAATAATCTAAATGTCCCTCAACACATGAATGGATGAACAAAATATGGTACACACATTCAATGGAAGACTACTCAGCCAGTAGAAGAAACAGTCTTGATACATATGGATGGATGGAACTTGAAGACATTATGAGTGAAATAAGACAGTCACAGAACTATATGACAATATTATATGATCTCACTTATATAAAAAGAAAAGAAAAGGTAAACATAATGAGATCAAAGTTTATTAGTGGTTACCAGGGGTGAGAGGGAGGGGTAAAAATGTGGGTACTCAATAGTGATGGAAAAAAATCACACTGATTAAGGGTAGACACACACAGCTGATTGTTGTAATTGCTCTCAATAAGTTGCACACTTGTACAACTTGAACTAGCAGAAACTGTGTGACAGGATATATTTACAATAATGACAAGAAAAAAAAAGAGTAGCTGTTGAGGCTACTTATGAACCACCAAAAATCTCTTGGAATGTCCCAGCTAACTGGGCTGATAACATGCGCAGTGCTTCTGCTCTGTCTTCTGGTTTGTTGCATAGTGCCTTAAAAGCTTGCAAGTGGCCATTAAAACACAGTTGGTCTCTATTCACTTGGAGCAACAGAGGGAGAAGAAGAGTCAGGACTGGGAGGAGAGCATGGAACGTGTGGCTAATTGCCTCCATGAACAACTACCTCCTTTGCCATAAGGCGAGTGGATGGTGCCTGGCTACCATCACTAAACATTTTGTTCAAGGATTCTAGAGAAGAATCCTGATCAAAGAGGAAAAATGCAGAATAGAATGTCAGATTTTCATGGACTCCAAACTTTCTGGATGAAGCCCTGAAACTACTGCCCTGAGATAATCTTTAAACCTTAAACCACATATACCCCCTGCAGCCATCTTAAAACTGAACAATAGTTTAGCTTAACCAGTAGAAATGTCTGCCTTGAGCATTATGGTCTTTTAAGAACTATTTGTATGAGCTCAAAGAGAGAACAGCAAATCAGAAGATCAGATAGGAAGCTTAGGGGGCAGCGAATGTGTTAACGGGGAAGGAACAACTCAGAAAAGGAGGGTGAGAATGGCTGCACAACTGGAGGAATTTCATCAA